GAGAGGAAAAGAGTAAAGAAACATGGTAAATTAAATGTTTTAATGAACATTTTCCCCACCTCTAGTCTTTGCCTAGCTTTGTGCCCTGCGACGCCGTCTTTCTCCTTGCGTTTTTCCTGCCGTTTGGCGATCTCCATCTGCTTGGCTTTCCTCTGTTTGGCAGCCTTGTCCATCAGCTGTAGTCGCGCCTGCACTTCTCTCTTGGCCTGCAAGGGGGACACAGCGATAATGTCTGGTCAATTCAAAGTTAACGTATTCTCCGTATTCGCTATGTCATGGTTTGTTGCAGCCTACGACTATCTTCGTTAAAAGCTTTCTAACAACAACAGTGAAGGAAAATATATGAAAAGTTTAGATACATGTACATGGTTGTCTGTCTGTTCTGTTGAATAGTTTCAAAATGGTATGGCTAGAAATTTTTTTTTCATCGAAAACAAAAACGAACGTAAATGTATCTAAATGATGTAAAACTTTATTTGGTTGTACAGTGTATATGAAAGAGATCAGGTTATTTAATTAAAACGAGGTAAAACATACCCTGACATCAGTCATGGAAGGCACGAATTCGTATCTCTCCATTTGTTCTGGAAAAAAGAAATACATTAATTGATTGAGAAGTTTATCGCAAATACTTGCCCGAGGGCTAATTGCAGTTACAAACAACATAAGAAAGAAAATACAGTGGTATGTCGACTATATTTACGTCTAGCATTATACTATATTCTACAACTTACATGGTACTATTTTTACTGGGTTTGCCTTCCTCTTTTCAGGCAATGGAAGACGAATTTACCCACTTCTTCTATAATATGTGGGTTCTTTCATTTTAGTAGTAAAATTGTTATTTGTGGTAGGGAATGGTCGGGAAGTAAGGGAGCATTTTGGACACGGTGGTAAATAGTTGTTTTCTGATGTCGTCCTAAAATGGACAGTTAGAGATGAAATGAATTTCGTCTTCCACTGCATTTGAGGAGCAAATAAACTTTCCTGAAGCCATCGAATGATATCTGTGAAACACAACGACGTTACTTCATACATCAGCATGAAACCGGGACGGGGGGCGATATCGACTTCAGACAACCTTTGACCCTTTGCTGACGTCACACGTGGGAAAAATCACCTGTCCACAGCATTTGGGTCAGATAGCTGAGGAAGACTGAGTGATTCAGTCGAAAATTCCGGTGAGTCAAATTTTGAGTTGGAGAACAGTTTTTAAACTGTTCTCCAACTCAAAATTTGACTTAAAAGTTTTTCATAATGTAATTTACCAACTCAGATGAACTTTCATGCTAACGTTACCTCACGTATGTGCTTGTGATATGCACGAGCTGATTTTCACATTTTCCTGTCATACATGATACATAAGTAGCTTTAGGACCGCTTCTGTTGAGTATGTTGATACTTAAGTGCAATCATGTGCTCGGCAAAGTGTCAAAGTACACGTTGCAGTGAACGTGTTCCTAAGAGCGATTCTTACCCACTTATCATCTATAAGTATTTGCATGTGCTACTTAAACACATGGCGGTATGTCACTTCAGTTCAACGCACGTTCTTAAAGGTAGTTTTGGCTGTCGTCTTCTAGACAAAACGTGAAAGTGATCTCGATCCAGTTTAGCTCATTGAAGAGCTTATCTTCCACTGGTCGTGACAGAGAAGACAGACGCTATGTACAGTATTTACAGGTTCATTGTACCGGGGAAATTCCCCTATCTCTTTTCGACAAGCACAATGAACAGTGGACCATGGCTTAACGTCCCGTCCTAAGGACTGCGACCCTAAACAGTAGCGTCCATGTCGGGTGAGCGACAACAGCCGGGATTCGAACTCCCAACCTCTTAGTCCAGAGGCAGGATCGCTAACCACTGGACTACACACGCTACTCACGGCATTCAAAATTGTAACGTAAACTTTGCTTATTTTATTTTTTCCATTCATAGAAGTTTAGATAACTGACAGTGAATGATCATTTTGCACATGTCGTACCAAAAATATCGACATAATTTTGAATGCCGTGAAGGAGTGGTAAGTTTAGCCACCATCCTGCCAAAGCCCCTATCACATATTGATACCCCGAAATTGAAACGAATTTGAGTTGAATTTGAGTTAAATTTGACTTCCCAACAAGTTTAGCCACCATCCTGCCAAAGCCCCTATCACATATTGATACCCCGAAATCGAAACGAATTTGAGTTGAATTTGAGTTAAATTTGACTTCCGAACAAGTTTAGCCACCATCCTGCCAAAGCCCCTATCACATATTGATACCCCGAAATCGAAACGAAGTTGAGTTGAATTTGAGTTAAATTTGACTTCCGAACACGCTCCGTACAATGCCGACTTACTCCCGAATGGTTGGCCGGTGTTCTGCTGTCTTACAGCCAACCTTGGTCGAACATCCCGACCAACCCCCGAATGTTTTAAATCATATATCCGACTTCGCCGAACACCAGTCGATCCATATATAATCCCAATTTCTCTAAACTTACAGACCAAGAAAAAACTATTCTTCTTTTAACTTCCCAAAACCCACAAATTTTGGAAAAAGTGGGACATTGCGTCTTCCATGGTTTACAGAAGAGAAGTCAAACCCTTTAGACATAGTTTTAGACATAGTTATAGTTCTAGACAGCTACCTTTATCATGTAGACTTTAGTTATTTTATACTCTATTTCATTGTTCTTTTATGTTTTGTAATTTGCAATTAGCCTCCGGGCAAGAATTTGCAATAATTGACTGTACATTATATAAAGATGAACACCAAGAGCTACTCGATACTTTACAATTAGACAAGATATGTAAGAAAATGTCAAAGCAGGACATGTTTAAACATTTCATGTCATACAAAAACGAATGTACAGTAGACAAACTATGTAATTATGTTTCCAAATGTTTCAAAAAGAGAGAAGAAAGGGCAACTAACAGTAGATGATAGGTAGTTTATAGTATTATTGTAATGTATAGATTCCTAGCACTTTGCATTAGAATATAGCGTACCAGTATGAAATACTCATGTTTTACATACTGGATATCCTCTTGTGCATTTAGCCCATCTGGGCAAGAACATGCAATAAAGATTCATATCATATCAATAAACTTTTCATTATATTTTAATGCGTAACAGTTCCTTACCCTTTGACGGTGTAGCAGGCGGTGCGCATGGCAAGAACACTCCACAGTCTTTCATCATCCCGGACTGCTTTTCCGACAGGAATATCCTCGTCGGCTTCTCCCCCTCGGCACCGTTCGTACTCGGTCGCCTAGGCGACGGCAGCAGATCGGCTCTTCTCGGAGAGAACATCGGCGCTTCGGGTCTTCTCGCCGACAAGAACCCCCCTGCCATACCCGCGTAACGCTTGTCCGGTTTCTCCTGAGCACTATCCAAACTTTTCGACACTGCATGGATAGAACTGTTCGGGTGAAGTCTAGAAAATTTCTGGGAGTAGATGATCTCACTACTTGTCTTTGGCGCAGAGATCTTGTTGTAGTCTCTTCGAGTTGCTTCGCTGGTGCGACTGACTCTTTGCTCTGACTTTGCACTTTTCTTTCGCGTTTGTAACCGCACACTGTTGGTGTTGAATCCTACACCGCTCCCCCCTCGCATTAGCGTTTGGCTGTAGATACTTTTGGCAGACTTCGCTCGAGTTTTTAACTTCAGCCCTGATTTGGTGCCTGTCTTGCGGTTGGCCATCTTTGAACCCGATTTTACTTTCCGTTTGGTTTTTTTCTTGTTCTTGTTTCCTTTGTCAGGAACTGTGGAATGAAGGAGAAATTAGTCAAGATATGAAACAATATACATTGTGACGTTTTTTTTAAATCACATTTTCATCACAATGCATTGTCACAATGATGACACAAAGCTAACAATTATTAGAAACATAGTAAATGAGAACTACATTAACACAGGAAATCTTAACAAACACCATCAATTACCGGGTAATTACAGCATATATTGTCTTATTTTGCTAGAACAACAGTGGGCATTACAAGTGCTGAGCAGCTCAATGATCTCAAAAGACAGTTGCAAAATTCTGCAGTTTTTATAATTTTCGCTAAGAGGCGCCATTGCCAGGTACGCTCAATGAAAAGTTCAAGGCTATCTCAAGTGTCCTTATTCTTTTTCATTGGAGCACTCAGCACCACATAATTCACCGTTTTCTTTAGAAAAATGGCCGAACAAAACCCAGGTGCAACTCCTTCACGTACGTGGGAATTAGACTTTTTATATATGTTAGCGACGACGTAAGTTTTTTGTTTGAAGATGTCAACATTTGTAAATACAGTAACACGGCACTAAAAAAATTGATTCTGGTCTTCACATATTCTTGCATTATTTCAACTAACAATATTCAGATTTACCCCAACCGTTTGCCACCACCATTTTACTCAAACAGCCCCTTACGCCAAACTCTCGCGAGACTATAAATACATTAACGCTGTACATTCTACTGAAAATATTTGATTCTGGTTTTCGCATATTCTTGCATTATTTCAACCAACAATATTCAGATTTACCCCAACCGTTTGCCACGACCATTTTACCTGCAACAGCCTCTTTTTGGGTTTGGGGTTATTTTTGGCGTGATTTTAGGCTTTTTTTCGTGTTTTTTTTTTCTAGAATTTTTTGTTGGGTTGGGTGAAAAAAATTCCGGAGCAAAAGAGAAACCACAATAAAAAAGGCCTAAAACACACAAAAAACTAGAATTCCGAGATCTCATACCTCCATGAAATATGATCTTGATATGTAAATGTAAATTTCTTCTTTAATTGTGCAAATGACCTCTGCATTAACATGATATATGCATCGTGATGTATGTTAACTTTTGATTAACTTACAGATGTCCCAAGTATGACATTCTCATCATTCACCATAACGAAATTATAGAATTTTCGCATTAATTATGCAAATTAGGTCATCATTTGCATAATTAGTATCTGTTGAAGTTCCGCCTGCCATAGGTTACATACAAGTAGTATAATGTAAAACACTGTAATTATAGAATTTCCTCATTAATTATGCAAATTAAGTCCTCATTTGCATAATTTGCCTTTAATTATGTACATCTCTCTCTCAGCTACCTACACACCAAAAATAATGAAGACATTGTCATCATTCACCATTACGAAATCATAGAATTTTCGCATTAATTATGCAAATTAGGTCATCATTTGCATAATTAGTATCTGTTGAAGGTCCGCCTGCCATAGGTTACATACATCACATGTATGTAAGTAGTATAATGTAAAACACTGTAATTATAGAATGTCCTCATTAATTATGCAAATAAAGTCCTCATTTGCATAATTTGCATTTAATTATGTACATCTCTCTCTCAGCTACCTACACACCAAAAATAATGAAAATATGTTGTTCCTGTCTGGACTTATTGGCTTTTAAACATTTCGCCAGTAAGTGCCCTGCAGTTCCAGAACAAGCCGCTAGGGGGCCCAAACTCATATGACTTCTTCCCAAGCACGAGAGCTACCTTCCATCAAAATTTCATGACCCTAGCATGTCCAGATCGCGAGATATCAAAACCGGAAGTCGCGCTGCAGTACCAAGGGAAGCCACTAGGGGGACCAAAATCTAATCATTTCTAGTTTTCGTCACACCCTACCAACACACCAAGTATGAAACCAATCCATCCAGGCGTTCTTGAGTTATCTTGTTGACCAACAGACGGACAGACGGACAGATGGACAGACGGACAGACGGACAGATAAACGCGACTGAAAATATAACCTCCATGACACATTTCATGGAGGTAATAACCCCAAACCTATGACAACCTCTGCTTGGAGAGTATATCTTGTGCCAAACTCTCACGAGACTATAAACGTGATCTTGTCGCGCCCATCGCGTGACCGTGGTCTACAGCGCGACACAATCTGAACCACAATCACCGTCACGTTAAATGAATTGTGATGCACGACATCGCCATACATGCGACACGGCAATCCATCTTGACATTGTAGAGCAACCGCAGAGTTACCACCAGTGGGCTCTGAGGCGGAGTATAGCAACAACTGCGTGTTATGACCAAAGACCAACCTTTACAACCTGGCAACCTATTGAAATTATCGTGATTTTCTTCACGCCGATTGGTGTTTAATGGTGAAATATGGGCAGGGTTGACAACAATAGCTGGGACTTCGTGTGACTAAACAATTATGTGGGAGGAGGAGCACTTTTCGCCCTGTCGTAATTTCGCCACATATCACAATTACTGAAATTACTGTCGGAGCAGACTGTAATTATCGTTTAAACACATTTAGCAAGATTATTGAGGATTTATGGGCCATAGAAAGGGATGTGAGAAAATATACGTGTTACGTGGTGGTTCTATAGAGCTTGCAGGGACTAACTTCAAGGTTCAATCAATTCTCGTGTTTTAAATGTATCCAGTACAATTTCAAGGCGGCAAAGTTGGGTTTTAAAAGTCAATCGTTAACGTTAGACGTAGTACGCTGAATCCTTATAATCCCAAAGCATACTGATATCTGTGAGGCAAAACTGCGATGTCACTGACTGAAAATTGCTCATTGTTTTGTATCATAGCCATATCATAGCTGGTTCTGGCTATTCTGTATCGGTATCTGTATCGGTATAGCCGGTATAACACGTAACACACCAGCTTCGTAGGCACGCGGTGCGGCGGCAGCTAGCTATATCACATCGAACGACTTGTTACACTCAATCTTTGCACAATTAATTGCAGGAGTTGTTTAAAGCTTTCTAGTGATGATGCCCCAACTGTGCTTGCTGGCAACGAGTTCCAGTCTACGATAGTTCTAGATCTGGGGAAATACGAGTTTTTGAATACCTCAATTCTTGGTTGATAACTCTGATATTTGAAGGCATGACTGTTTCTTGTTCTTTTCTGGGCCGGTATCAGATACTTAGTGGTTGGTACATCCACCAGTTTATTAGTCGTACCCCACAAAAAATAGAAACCCCTCACGTAGCTTGTTTTGGGGCTATTTCAAATTTCATATTTCAAAAATTTCCTATTTTAAGTATGAAATAATGACGAAATGGCAGTAATATCAATATCAGATAAATTTCCTCATCTAAAAATTTTTGTTTTGCTTGTCTGTAATAGCATTGGATGCCTTTAAACACGATTACAAGTACACCAAAGCCATGGGTCAGAAGGATTACGTAAGATTAGAAGTAGTAACAACAATGGCCATTGTAAATTGAGATGATTGCGTTACAAGCTGTAAATCCGCAAAAAATAATTAAGGAGTTACACTAAGTTAAAACATTACGTTAAGTCGGGACTGCTATCGGGCATTGTTTATGCATCAGAGACACAACATAAAATGCTTAAGAACTAGAACGGCCTCCAAAGCATTTTAAAACCCGTACATACCGCTAACTCACTGTAGCGTTGTTGTTTATGCGTGTTTTGACCCTTGTGTACACAACTACATGATGGGGTAGATTACGCTCTCACCTACACAGCGTCTGTCCGCCTTTTAAACAAACAAAGCCATATTGTGCGGGCAAAATCTCGGCTTAAGTTGGAATTCCGGAAACATAAAAAAGGATTATCAACGTATATACATGTACGTCATCTTTGAGATATTATATACAACACTGAATGTCTAGATTTTAGAAAATTTGACGATTTTTTTATCGTGCTTTCTGGGGGTAGCTATGTAGGTGGTAGCCTCCGTAGCAGTCTTATAGAACTAGGCGTTTGGTGGTCTTCGGTTGTTTTCTGATTAGCCCATGGCCATGCCAATTCTAAAAAACGGGGGTATTCAACCAGGCCGGCTATGTTGTCTATGTGCAATCAGAAAATAGCACATAAAAGCTCCCAAAAACCCTAAAGACCCCCAAAATCCCCAGTTGTTGGCATGCTATGGAGGCTATGTAGGTGGTTGCTGACGTAATGACCCAGTTGTAGGACATTTTTCTTATCTTGTGGGTAGCAAAAATCGTCACAACATATAGAAAAACACAACGATATGTATCCTTGAATAGTAAAGTTCTTTGGTCACAACCATTTATTTTTTCACGAGCCGACGTTTCGATGACCGTCTGTCATCTTCATCAGGGCAATTCTGACTGGTTTACTGTGCACTGACGCTAGATGTTACTTGGTGCATAGTGCACTAAAGGTGTTACATAGTTCACAGTGCACTTAAGCTACTGCACCAAGTAACATCTAGCGTCAGTGCACAGTAAACCAGTAAGAATTGCCCTGATGAAGATGACAGAAGGTCATCGAAACGTCGGCACGTGAAAAATAAATGGTTGTGACCAAAGAACTTTGCTATTCATTCGTTTACCAACCTGATGAAATTATTTACGGAGATATCTATCCTTACGCTTACTGTTAGGATGTAGGAAATTTTGTAGCACTCAAACGTGGATTTACTGTGCAGTGCTGCACTATATAATATCGATTTCTTATTGGCAACAGGAAGCTGCCAGAATAGCCGACTAGTGATCTTAATTGCTTTAAGATTAATGTGTACACAGTCCTTAGCTTGACGTCCGCCAAATGAAATCGACTTTTACTGACAGAAAGAAAATATACGTACTGTGTAATCATACGGTAACGTTTGCTGTGGGACAAAAATGATGGGAGCAGGAAATTGAAAAGTCGTAAAGAGGAAACCCACGACAGCCGTTAATGGTCCCAGCATTTTAAAATGGACAGTGTCAAAACGTTATAAAATGGAAATTGACACAATGTATATTTGTTCTTCGTTATAAATGTAGTGGTCTCGTTTTTAACTCACTTACCCTCTTTATGTATTTAATAATTAAGTTAAAGGAATCGGTTATATTGATATACATTGATATAATCTATAAATATAGTAAATAATTTAAAAATTGGCAACCACCACCTATAGGTTAAGTTTGACTTGACTTACTTCACGAATCGGGGTTTAGTTTAGGCAATAATTAATTTCGCAAAGGCTTAGTATCGTTTGATTTAGATTCAATGTAATCATGTATAAATATTACCATAAGTGTTTCAGTACTTAGCCTTTGTACACATGATACTGATCAATATGGTTGCATTTCTAGAAGTGAACTTTACCTGTGGTTGTGACTGTTGGTGTTGTTGTTTCTGTTGAGTCGTGGTGTTCGTTGTTGGAGTCTTCGCTAGAAATCCCCGAGTCGTGGTCCTGGAGGTTTAGGGACTCGAGTGCCTTCTTAACCGCAGCGCTGTCGACAAGAACCGACACGGAAGACCCTTGAAATTTGGGAACGCCCGGCGAACTCTGAAACGACATGTCCGGTCGCTTGGTTGTCAGTTTCCCCGACTTGGCCCTTACTATGACTGCAGTCTTGCTAGGAGGCCGACTCGTACTCTGAGGTCCTTGTTGTAAAGTTGTGCTGTGTATTTCGGGGAGAAAACTACTAGTGCTATCGGTACTCAACCGGCCTGGTACGGAGGTCAGACTCGTGGAAGAGCTCCGTCTGTCCGGCGGGGAGTGGATGATAGGCGCTCGGCAGATCTGCAGGGAGAGCCCGCCGAAGTTTCCGGAGCTGGACGGTAGATGCCGGTAAGTAGTCATACTGCTGGGGTACATGTTGACACTTCCATAAGATCTTGTGAAAATAAACACGGCGATTAAAGACTCCTCGAGTGGGCCATTCGCCTTCTACTCTCCCCGTGAAATTTTAGCCCGGCGTCCCAGCCAAGACTGGGTTTTAAAGGGACCTAAAAGTTCCTACATAGTTCATCATAAAGTGGGCTAATTTGTTGACCAAACTGGACAATCGAGTTCTGACTGTCAGCGTAGTCTGCCCACCCAAACACACGGAGCGGCGTCAGGTTGCTAGCCAGCGTCGCCCGGCGCAGTGAACCGTAGCAGGTGGCTCGGTTTCACCTGCCGGTTTGTTTGCATTGTTGAAGGAACAGACCGCGCAACACAATAGCTGTTGCCAAGCTACTTCACCTCTGACCTCCGGTGAACCCAAACACTTCTAATGACCCGAGGTGACCTATTTAACCGCTGGCAAACGGAACAAAATCGAATTAAAAGATCACGAAGTACGAAACATGATGTTATATCAAAACATAGTTATTCTACAAGTATTTATGATTTTTAATTGAAGAAATATTATCATCGTTTAGTGTTAGCATATGAGTATTAAGCCTTATTTCTCATGCAAATCATACTTTGCTGCGGTGATGCTATCCCGTCATCCTCTGCAACAAATGGCTGCGCCCATGTGAAAATTCCGGTTGCGTCGAAGACATATAAAATCGTCGCCAGGTTAAAAATTGTAACATTCAGCCATCACCAGATAATATACATCAACAATGCGGCCACTAACGGAGGACGAGACCAAAACGTTTTTCGAGAAGCTGTCAAAATAGTGAGTAAAATTGAGATTTAGTTTTGGGTTGGGGAGGGGGGCACTGATGCACACACGGTGTGCACGTGTATGGTTCTACTTCTAGGTATATGGGTATGTTTTTGGTATCTTTTTATGTAGTCGAGGCGACTTAACAACTGTGCATGATGTACAAAATGACTAATAAACTGGTGGATGTACCAATTACTAAGTATCTGATACCAGCCCAGAAAAGAACAAGAAACAGTCATGCCTTCAAATATCAGAGTTATCAACCAAGAATTGAGGTATTCAAAAACTCGTATTTCCCCAGAACTATCGTAGACTGGAACTCGTTGCCACCAAGCACAGTTGGGGCATCATCACTAGAAAGCTTTAAACAACTCCTGCAATCAATTGTGCAAAGATTGAGTACATAACAAGTCGTTCGGTGTGATATAGCTAGCTGCCATCTTGCCGCGTGCCTGCGAAGCTGGTGTGTTACGCCGAAGGGCGGTTATACCGGCTATACCGATACAGATATAGAACAAGGTAGCATTCGCATACTAGATGTTTCGTTTGTGCATGTAACACTATATATAATATTTTACCAAGTGAATGCAGTACGGCCAGGGCTAGTATAGTAAAAATTATAAATGTTCGCTACTTGATGAAACCTGTTTGTATGTTACCCCTACAGTATAGGAGAGAACATCAGACTGCTGATTGACAGACCAGATGGGACCTATTGTTTCAGACTGCACAAGGACAGGGTCTACTATGTCAGGTAGGGTGAGAACCATTAAAATTTTTTGATCTGATGGTATTCTTATGCGGAATACACCATGTTGAATTTTATTCATGTCATACCCACACGAGAAAAGACATATTTCATTTTCAATGTGAAATGTGCCAAAATTTAGTGTCCCTAAACAAAAATGTAACTACTCATACTCATACACCAATCAGGTATTGGAATTTTGTAAGACAATGAAAGACACTTTAGGATCATTCTTTGGAACATTTGGAAGCCCGTGTGATAACCGTGTAAGAATCAGTAGAAACAGATAAAAACCCACTGGTCCCAGGCCAGGATTTGAACCCACAACCTCCCGGGCCCCAGTCAGACGCTCTAACCACTCGGCCGAAAAGGTCTAGACCCGTCGGCCGGGTCAGTTGGTAGCGC